AAAGTACTTTAAACTGTATAAATAATGTAAAATTAAATTGATTTAAACTGCCAATCATACGAATGTCTGCCTATGACTTTAGCCGTGTAAAAATAAACAAGTTCAACAGTGTAAACCAATTTAGCCGTGTAAAAAAGTTCTCACAAGGAAAAAAAATTGTTAAGGAGATTGTGAAACCATTTAGCCGTGTAAATACAAGTTCAGCCGTGTAAACTTAAGGAGTTTGTGAAACCCTTTAGCCATGTAAAAGTGAAACAATTTTCGGTGTAAAAATAAACCAAATTCAGCCGTGTAAGAATGAGCACCAATTAAAAATATTTTCTCAAGTTTAATGCATGTGAAGCACCTCAGCCGTGTAAAAACAAGTTTATCATGAAATGATTTCTCACAAGGAAAAAAAATTTAGGAGTTTGTGAACCCATTTAGCCGTGTAAATACCATTTAATTAGTGCACCAATTAAAAGAGTTTGTGATACCCTTTAGCCGTGTAAAAATAAACAAGTTCAGCAGTGTAAACCAATTTAGTCGTGTAAAACAAGTTCTCACAAGGAAAAAAAAATCGGTAAGGAGATTGTAAAACCATTTGGCCGTGTAAATACAATTTTTGGATTGTGAAACCATTTAGCCGTGTAAGAATGTGCACCAATTAAAGTTTAATGCATGTGAAACACTTTAAACTTTAAAAAAAAAGGAGTCTGTGAAACCCTTTAGCCGTGTAAAAATAAACAAGTTCAGCAGTCAGCCGTGTAAAACAATTAAGCCGTGTAAAAATTAAAACAGGTTCAGCCGAGTACCAATTAAAAACATTTTTCAAGTTAATGCATGTGAAACAATTAAGAAAAAGTAGTTTGTGAAACCCTTTAGCCGTGTAAAAATGAGTATCAATATTTTGAAAAAATAGAAGTTGTGAAACCATTTATTCGTGTTAAAAAAATTAGCACCATTAAAAAAAATGAAAACGATCCCAAAAAATTCCGGGACGGAGTCCGGCCAGAATCGACCAAGATCACAACGAATTTTACTTGTAAACCATAGTCGTTCGTTAAGTAAAAAAATACCCAGCTGATAATTTTCTATAGTTCCTGCTTATCGGAAAAGCTAGCCCTAACCCACCCTAACCCTAACTCGTTCCATTCTGACTATTCCGACTCCGTTCCTTCTATACAAAATATTTAAAGTTTAAGAATATTGTTTGTGAAACCATTTAGTCATTCAGATTTAATATCAGCTGCGTTAAAGAGCTTAGTAAAATTTAAAAAGTTATATTTTACTACCCAGGAAAAATAGTTAGTATAATTTATGGTTAACTGGACTATATTAACACAATTAGCTTAATAACTTTATTTAATATAAATTCATAATTGGGATGGATTCATAATAGGTTCGGAATCCATTTAAATCCCAACCTAACCCTTAAAATTCCCGAATCAATTTAATTTTCTGTTTACTTATGACATTTATAAATAAATCATACTATACATAATCTAATAACCCTTAATTAATTAGATTAATATTTAAAATTAATACAACTTATGCCAGGCCGAATTTCATATCCAGTTTTTTTAAAAAAATTCGGGTCTATTTTTGGTTAAATGTTATTATTTTTAAAAATCTCATAATGGTATTCACAATAAACCATAAACCTATTTAAAAATTTTTTAAACATTTCTTCGCTAACTTGATACATATAATTAACTGTTAATCCCAAGCCGTTTAATTTTTGAATTGCAAATTCAAATGGAATCTTTTTTGATGTTGAAATTTCAAATAATAAAACACTTAATTGATAAAATTTCTTCCATCGTGCAAACTCATTTCCATTATATTTGTTACTTTCGTTTTTTAAAAGAATTGGTTGTTTGATCAGCTCATTAATCATCTTCTTTTTTAGCTTTTCATCCAATTCTGCAGTTTTCGTATATATCATTTTAGAATGATTGATTCTTAAAAAAAATTCTTCCCATTCTAAATCATGTTGAATCTGATCTTTTTTCTTTTTAAAATTATTGAGAACTGATGGCCAATGGTCATCGAAATTATTTGTATTTGGAGTATTTGTAGGATGAATTAATGGTGATGTTCCGTCTATTCGAGCAATAATAAGGTTTGTATGGTTTTGCTTGTTCACGTCTTTCTTTGAAACGCTAAACAAGAAATAAAGTAATTTAATTTTAAACCAAAATAATAATAAATAAATATTTTCAATAATTATTACATGTGTGAAATATCTTTATCTTCATCACTAGCCATATCAACTTTTAAGCAATATTAAAATAAACAATAAATTCTAATTTTTTTGAGCAAAATCGTAGTTCAAAATTTATAGATATTTATTGTATGTCGTGAAACAAGTATTGCATGAAATAGTGATGGCGCAAAAATTTGACGGTCCCGTGACTAATTCAATAGGTAACAATGATTTCCTAATTTTTAATAAAATTAACGCAGATAATTTGGGATGTTAAAAGTCCGGTCTGGTCCGACTCCATGAGTCGAGTTTTAATCTAAATGCAATTTTGGATATAGGATCAGGTCAAAAATGTCATGAAGCAAAGTTTTAACATAAATTTACATAATTCGAGCAAGATTATCAAATATTGACCGGAATTTTAACTTTACGCTAATATTAGCTTAATAAATTAAAAGCCTATTTTACAATTAGATGTTTAAACTATAAATTCTATTCATAAGAAAACAAATCTAATTCGAATAAATTGAAACTACTTAATTCGGGCCAAACCTCTAAATAACGCCCATGCCCGTTATTTCTCGACAATACGGTAACTCTGGTAAGCATAATTTTGGTAGAATTAATATATAACTCTGTTAAGCATTATCTTGATAGAATTAATTAGAAATTAACGTTATCGTTATACTCTAATTTTACTAAATTTATATTCTAATTTTGCCCAAATTTATACTTTAATTCTGCCTAAATTTATATTCTAATTCTGCCCAAATTTATACTCTATTTTCCCAAATTTATACTGTATTCAAATTCTGCCCAAATTAAATCCTAATTCTGCCAAAATTTTTACCTTAATTTTGCCCAAATTTATATTCCAATTCAGCCTAAATTAAACCCTAATTCAGACAAAATTTACAATTCGAATATAAATTTGGGCAGAATTAGAGTTTAATTTGGCAGAATTCGAATGTAAATTTAGAGGCAGAATTGGGGTTTAATTTAGGCGAAATTCGAATATAAATTTGGACAAAATTATAGTTTAATTTGGGCAGAATTCGAATATAAATTTGGGCAAAATTAAAGTAAAAATTTTGGCAGAATTAGGGTTTAATTTGGGCAGAATTAGAATATAAAATTAGAGTATAAATTTTGGCGGAATTAGAGTTTAATTTGGGCAGAATTCGAATATAAATTTGGGCAAAACTAAAGTATAAATTTTGGCAGAATTAGGGTTTAATCTGGGTAGAATTCAAATATAGATTCGGGCAAAATTAAAGTATAAAATTTTTGCAGAATTTGGGCAGAATTCGAATATAAATTTGGGCGAAATTAGAGTATAAATTTTGGCAGAATTAGGGCTTAATTTGGGCAGAAGTAGAATATAAATTTGGGCAAAATTAAAGTATAAATTTTGGCAGAATTTGAATATAAATTTGGGTATAAATTTTGGCGGAATTAGAGTTTAATTTGGGCAGAAATCGAATATAACATTAATTAAAATTTAATTTTAATTTCAATAATACATCAATTACGTATTGATTTTACGATTATTTAAGGAATGGGCGTCGCAGTTTAATCAACTTAAATCAACAAAAACGAGAGTTGAAGAGAGAATGCTAAAAATGTTGTATGAACTTAGAGGAGCATATCTATCATTACTCATAACGTTAGCAAATGAATACGAACGAAACATGAGAAGACTTCCAACCCATAAAACCCTGCGCGGTTTTGTCAAAGAAAAAATAAAAATATTTTTAAATATTGAAGAAAGACAGGAGCGAAGATTTTGGGTAGGAACGTGGCGACTTATAGAATTACTCAACTTAACGCATTAAAATCTCGGATAAATTCATTGTTTATTAAAATTAATCGATTAGAAAGCAAAAACAGAAGATTAGAAAAGAAGGACTGTCCTTAATTCTAAATTAATACTTATAAGACGTAACATTATGTTTTAACATTAACCTCTCATTAAGCCTATAAGCTTACATTTTATTGTTTCGTGTCATCAACCTATTTTACTAGCAATGCTGTCTTTAGGATTATAAATAAATTATTAATAAAATAAATTGGCAAAGTAAGCCTTTTGAAAATAAATTACCAAGCTTTAATAGATTTATAAATTATATTACTGCTTCATGATTTATATGAATGGGATATTATAATATAAAAAATTGTAATGCAATATTATGACATTTCTATTATTTACTACTTACACTTTTTTAAATATAAATGTCATAATAGGTTGCAGCCCTAATTATGACGTATTAAAGTCATAATTAATATTTGGGACCCCACAGCAAAAGAAGGCAGTGGGCAAAAAAAAAAAAATCTATTTAATTGATTTCTTGAAGAATTAGATTAATGAGAACAAAATTTTATAAAATTACAAAATCAAAAGTTTTGTCCCTTCTTTTGCTGTGGGGCCCCATTTGTAGCAAGCAATACTAGAAGCACTACCAACTCTACACTTACCATACAGTGCTACATACAGTTCCAGGGTACTGCAAAAAACTTTTTTCTGTCATTTTGTCTTTATAGAAAACTATATCAAATTTGTTCGTTCTTTATTAAATTATAAACTAAACACTAGGAATAACCTTTTGGACTTTGTAAGGTCTTTTTTTAAGCCATGATCACGATAGAATTAATGTACATATGTATTTTGATTTACATGAAGTTTCCTCATCTTGAACTTTTGAAAGTCAATTTAAATATTTATCATTAGCTTTTGCAGATTTAATTGAATCATAACTATGTTTACAAGCTTTATATAATTTTCTGGCATCAACATTGTTAAGGTTTTCGATATTGGATTTACCAAAAAATTTTCTGTCATTTAAAAATTTATTACTTTTTTATCGTTATAATATTTTTTTTTAACATCAGAAGGTTCAATAACGCCCTTTCTAATGTTATCAAATATATATAAATTTTTGATTCGAAACTGTCAATAGGGTGATTATTATAATTTTAAATTCAATGTTTTCATCTACGGACTATCTTATTTTATCAATTTTTATATCTTCTAGAAATTTCAAAATATTTCACATTCATTAGAAAATTAGTTAATTCTTTCTGTAATATTGGTTTAATAACTTCTCAATTGAAAATCCATCTGTATTGTGTCCAGAATTATGTACAATTCAATTTTCTTTCATATTGAATTCTAATTTAAATTTGTATCAAATTTAAATTAAATTAAAAAAATAGCAAAATTTGGATTGAAAAGATTGCCTCAATTAAATGCAATAAAAAATTATTTACGAGTAAACGTTATTGAAATAATACCATACGTATTATCAAGGTCCCTATTTACATACAATGGTTTAAGAGATTTCTTTATCATCCGGAAAAAAACTTTTAGCAAGGATATAGATTATTTTCATCAAAAGAGCTAAAAAAAAAGTATAAATAAGATGAAATAATTCACTTTTCTAAAAAAAAAAATAGAGGATTATCACCTCTGGATTAAGTATTAAGTCAAAAGATATAAATTCAAAATTCATCTGAATCTAGTGCGATAAATCAAAGTCTCTCAATGCCGGATATTAATGATAAGAGAAAGCAAGTGCTTAAGTATTTTAAGCAACACGAATATATCAAAGCATTAACATGTTATCAAGAAATTCTTAATAACAGCTTGTATAATGATGAAGATAAAAAAAATGCTTCAAGTTGGGATCTTACTAACAATCTTATATTAAAATATCTAAATAGATTAATTAAAGTACTTGAAAAGAATACCATACTAACTTTTTTGGATCTTAAAAGTAACAATCTTGGATCAGATGGAGGAAAAGCATTAGCAGATGCACTTTGTAAAAACAATACTCTGAAATATTTGAATCTTCGGTATACTAGACTTGGATCAGATGGAGGAAAAGCAATAGCAAACGCACTTTGCAAGAACACTACATTAACTTCATTGAATCTTGAAAATAATCAACTTGGATTAGATGGAGGAAAAGCATTAGCAAATGCACTCTGCAAGAACACTGCACTAACTTCTCTGATTCTTCTTAATAATAATCTTGAATCAGACGGAGGAAAAGCATTAGCAAGCGCACTTTACAAGAACACGACATTAACTATTTTGGATCTTGATGAGAATAAACTTGGATCAGAAGGTGGAATAGCATTAGCAATTGCACTTTGTGTGAACACCACGCTGAAAGAATTGCATCTTAATAATAATCGTCTTGGAACAGAGGGAGGAAAAGCGTTAGCAGATGCACTTTGCAAGAACACCGCGATGAAAGAATTGCATCTTGAAAGTAATCATCTTGGAACAGAAGGAGAAAAGGCATTAGCAGATGCACTTCTCAAGAATACCATGCTGGAAAAGTTGTATCTTCATAGTAATGGTCTTGGAACAGAAGGAGGAAAAGTATTAGGAAATGCACTTCAAAAGAACACCACATTAACTTTTCTTGATCTAAGAAATAATAATATGGACTGTAATAAGATCAAACAACCCAAAAATAAAAATTTCACATTAATGGTATAATAAAAATAAGCATTTAAATTTAACACAAAATTAATTTTGCCTGAATTTATAATTTAATTTGCCTGGAATTATATCGGAATAATTAATTTTGCCTATGATATTTTGCCTGATATTTTATTTCAAATGGGTCATTGTCGTAAAGTTTGTTGAATTTAAATTTCCAATCAATAAAGTAAACTTATTCTGTATTTCTATATCTACTATTTATCAATTTAGCTTTTTTAGTTCATATAAATGTATAATATTTTCACTTCTATTTTGTAAAAACAATAATTTCTAACAAATTATCTAAGAAAGAAAAGGAATTTAAGACTAAGACTGATAACCTCTTGATAAAATAATTCAAATTGCAGGTAATGATAACAAAAACCAAGTATTAAATGAATTTGCAGAATATATTGGAAAATCAGGTGGTTTTGCAAAAAAGTAGATTTTACTTCAAACCCGTTTAATTGGTGGAATCTATTAAGTATGCAGTATCCAATATTAAGCCAAGTTGCACAAAAAGTCTTGTCAATTCCAGCAACTTCGGCAGCTAGAGAGTGTAATTGGTCAATTTATAAATATATTCATTCAAAATTACGTAATTGAATGCTTACTGAAAAAGCAGAAAAACTTGTTTACATATACTGGAATACACGAATTCTTCATCAATTAGGAAGATTTATATCAGTTAAGGACTTGCAAGGTAATATAGTTACAATTAATAATATCGAAACAAACAATGTTCACTTAGATAATCGAGAATTAGTATTAGAAAACAATGAAATATTTGAAGATAATTTTACTAATAGACTTCTAAACATATTTGATGACGGTGAGTATGAATTTGATAGTGAGTAAAAATATAGCTATAAATGTAAAATATGTTTTTTTTTGCCTTAATGTTGCAATGAAAAGATAAATAAAAGCAACCAGAAATAGTTCTTTATTTTGTGAATAATAAAGATCTGGCCAAGCCTCTATAATGCCGGTAAACTAATCACGTGTTAGTATACTATTAAATATAAAGTTACATTGTAATTTTGAAATTTACAATATAATTTAAATATAACATAAATGTAATTTATATAATTTTCAACCCTAACTCTGGTACCTTAAGCATAATTTTTGGTAGAATTAATTCGCAGCTTTGGTAAACATAATGTTGGTAGAATTAAATCGTAACTTTGTTAAACAAAACATATATTGGTAGAATTAATTCGTAATTTTGAAAGGCATAATTTTAGTAGAATTGATTCATAACATAATTCGTAACCTGGTAAACATAATGTTGGTTGAATTAATCATGCACTGGACAAGGGATGCAATCCGTTAGTATCCAACAGCAGATAGGAGGACTTTGGTAATGTAGTTGAAATTAATTAGTAATTCTGGTAACCGTAAATTTGGTAGAATTTAATTAATTAACGTTTAACTCGTAAATATAATTTTGGTAGAGTTAACTCAAAACTCTGGTAAACGTAAATGTGGTAAATATAATGTTGGTAGAATTAGTTCGTAACTCTGGTAAACATAAATTTGGTGGTAGAATCTAACAGATAATTAAATCATAACTCTGGTATATTAAGCATAGTTTTGGTAGAATTAATTTGCAGCTTTGGTAAACATAATGTCGGTAGAATTAAATCGTAACTTTGTTAAACAAAACATTTTGTAGAATTAATTCGTAACTCTGAAGGCATAATTTTGGTAGAATTGATTCGTAACTCTGGTAAACATAATTTTGGTAAATATCAGATATAAATCTAAATATAATGTAGGTAGGGATGTTGTTACATAAATTACAATTTACAATACATGTAATTTTACGTAAGTTTCAGAAAATTAGATTTCATGTAATTTTCATTACGTTATACATAAAGTACCAGATTTACAAAAGTTCGGCCAGTATTATTGTATCATTTGATTTTAATGTACGATCCAAATTGTAACTCCTGAATCACCGAAAGTTTGAGCTCAGAAACTAAATGTCATGTGTTCAAAATTACAATTACATGAAATTTCAATTTACCGAATCTTACGCAAAATTACACAAAGTTACATAAAATTACTGTAATTTTACATCCCTAAATGTAGGTGAATTAATTAGTAATTCTGATAACCATAAATTTGGTAGAATTTAATTAACTGTTAACATTTAACTTGTAAATATAATTTAAATGTGGTAGGATTAGCTTGTAACTCTGGTAAATATAATGTTTGTAGAATTAGCTCGTAACTCTGGTAAACATAAATTTGGTAGAATATAACAGATAACTCTAGTACCTTAAGCATAATTTTGGTAGAATTAATTCGCAGCTTTGGTAAACATAATATTAGTAGAATTAATCATAACTTTGTTAAACAAAACATCGTGAGAATTAACTCTGGATGGCATAATTTTGGTAGAATTGATTCATAACTCTGGTAAACATAATTTTGGTAAAATATCAGATACAATTAATTTGTAACCTGGTAAACATAATGTAGATGGAATTAATTAATAATTCTGGTAACTGTAAATTTGGTAGAGTTTAATTAACTTTTAATGTTTAACTTGTAAATATAATTTTGGTAGAGTTAACTCAAAACTTTGGTAAACATAACTCTGGTAAACATAACTCTGGTAAACATAACTAGAGGTGCAGACGAATTGTCCCAATGATGCCGTAACGTGCCGTAACTATATTAAATAATTATAAAAGTTACGGCATATTTGCCGTAACTTTTTGTAAATTTCTATAATTATTTAATATAGTTACGGCACGTTACGGCAAAGTTACGGCACGATTCGCCTGCACCTCTAGTCAAAACTCAAATAACGTCCCATGCCCGCTATTTTGGGAATTTACAGTAATAAAAAGATATTAAATGAATTTGTCATTTCAAATGACAAACTTTTTACCACAAACTATATATACCTGCCTTTAAAAATTTTAAAATCAATAGTATTCACATAATTTTGTCATTGGCCTTCATTTCCGATATCAATGATTATTATTTCATTTCTCACACTAAAAGCTTTTATGGATAAAAAAAAATCGAGAAACCCAAAACAATAATTATTAATTGTAATTGTAATATATTTATTTCTTATTTATATATTATAAAACGCATTTACTTATTAACAATGCTCAAATCTCAAAGTAATCCGCCAAAGCATCAATTAGTTTTCAACAAATTTAGACTTAATGCTATCGATTACATCGGTAGCTAAATGATCTCTAAATTTCTCTGCTTTCCATGTGCATTTTGCTAATGTCCATGATCTTCGCGCTTTTCTTTTTGGATATGAGTGCCGCCAAGGGAAAACCTGTCATTGGACTTTCAATTATATTTTGTGTACAGTTAGCCGTCTATGGAAAATCTATCATTATGATAGATTTTCCATAGACGGTTAACTGTACACAAAATATAATTGAAAGTCCAATAACAGGTTTCCCTTGGCAGCACTCATATAATTCCACACCACATTGGTGGTCATCCAGTTGTATTTTTAGAAGGCATAACTTGCAAATTGTAGTAAAATGAAAGGTAATAAAAAATTTCTAATTATTTAAATAAAATATATTTATTTTAATTATCGATTATTTTATCACATCTCTTAACG